TCAGGAAGTTGAGGCAAGAGGATGACTGCCAAGCAGCCTGCCTACCTAATAGTCCAAGTTACCTAAGGAGAGAGAGCCAGGGATCAATGGGAGGAGGAGGAGAGAGCACAAGAGGGAGGAGGGAGCATGGAAGGGAGGAGCACACCAGTGTGCCCTGGAATGACTCTATCAAGCCATGTAACAGACAATTACCTCATACTTATTTTTTGTGGTAAGAACAGTTAAAATCTACTCAGCAATTTTCAAGACTATGTTATTAACTATGGTCAGCATGCTCAAATACATCTCCTAAACTTATTCCTCTGATCCACTGGAAATAACACATCCTTTGACATCTTCCCAACCTCTTCCTCAGTACACCTATTCTGCACACACAAAACAACTGAGGTGTACTTGACTGTGGCTTAGCCACCATCAAATGCCTAGCAAGTGACTGGAAATCAGGGTGTTTTAAGTTTTACTCACACTGGTACAGCGAAAACCAGCAGTACCCCGTTACTGAGCAAACTTTCTGAAATGCTGGCACTAAGGCCAAGCCAGTCAAGTTTCCATCACAAATGAGGAGGGACTCGGGGAGGCCTCCTCACCCATAGCTGAGGACGCTTTGGCAGCTGAAGGCCACCGGAGTAGAGAGAGTCGGTTATCTTCAGGGAATTGACCGTGGTGGGTTGTCAATGCTCCAGTGCATAGTTCTCCATCCCTGCACATGGACATGCTCCAGTGCATGGTTCTCCATCCCTGCACATGGACATGCTCCAATACATGGTTCTCAATCCCTGCACATGTGGACATGCTCCAGTGCATGGCTCACGCCCATGCACATATGGCCAGCATGGAGTGGAGTCACTGACCTGTAAAAGGATCTGAAATTGGGAGGACATGGCAGGGGAAGGGAGTCATCTGAAAAGATTAGAAGGAGGTTGACAAGATCAAAAGCATCATATACATGTGTATGAAACCCTCAAAGAATTAGCTGTTTGGGTGGTTTTGTTTGTTTTGTTTATTGTTTCGTTTTGTTTTTGTTCTCTCTATATATCCCAGGCTGTCCTTGAACTCACAGAGATCCACCTGCCTCTGCCTCCAGACTGCTGGGATTAAAGGTTTGTGCCATTACACCCAGCTGAGGTTTTTTTAAAGACAAGAAATGCTGGTGCCGGCTGCACTTCATAGTTCACATCTGTAATCTCACTACATGGGAAGTGGAGCAGAAGAATCAGGAATTCAAAGTCCATCCCTGGTTAGGGGTCAGCCTGGGCTACATGAAACGCTCTCCGAAAACAAAACTACTTCAGGTACACGAGGTACATTCAGGCACAATATTTTCCTCCAACAGTGTCCTAAGCCCAGAAAAACCCTGGACTCCTTACAGTGACTCAAAAGCACTCAGCCAAAACCATGAAATTAAAAGGCTAGTCATAAAAGCCTTCAATATTTGACCCATGGTCAGACCGACAGCAGGTTCCTCCTAAGTGACGGGTGACCCGTGTTGGAACTGAGGCTGTCAATTAGAGGTCATCAAAGAGAAAACAGGCAGTTTCAAAGGTATAATCTCCCAGTGACAGCAGAATGAAGCACACAACTGTGACTGTTGCACGGCAATTTACACAACCACTCCATGCCTCAGTTTCTCTACCCATACAATAGAAACGACTATAATACATACCCTCCGGTGTTGCTTGAGAGATTAAAGGAATGTGTATACAGCCCGAGAGTCAGGTGTGGGGCCGTTTTCCTGTAAATCTAGCCAGTAGGAGGTAGAGGCTGAGGCAGGGCTGCCGCTAAATTTGCTGTCTACACGTGTGAGTTCCAGGCAAGCCTTGGACCCTTAAAAGACAGTAGCCATTAGAAAAGTAGCACTTATGGCTGTGGATGTATGTAGCTCAGTTGGTAGAGTGCTTGAAGCCCTAAGTACCTAATCCTTGCACTGAAAAAAGGCAGGAAAATCAAGTGTTCAAGGTTATCCTCGAACACAGTAAGTTGGAGGCCAGATTTGGTTGCTGACAGGGTGGGGGGTGGGGGGGGAGTGGGGTGGGGGGGGCATGCTTACTAACTGTTTAATCAAGAGTTTAATCTTACTACTACAGCTCCAGCTCCACTACTGCTCCTAATCATATGACTTGGGACTACATAGGCAATAAATAGACCTGCAGAGTCCCATCAGCATCCAGGTCAACACAAAACTCTTTAAAACTTGCAAAAGCCAGGCAGGGCTGGACTGGAGAGATGGGTCAGGGGTTAGGAGCACTGATTGCTTGATCTTCTAGAGGACCTGGGTTCAATTCCCAACACCCACATTGAAGCTCACACCTGTCTGTAACTCCAGTTCCAGGGCGTCTGACACCCTCACACAGGCATACATGCAGGCAAAACACCAACGAACATTAAATAAAAATCAATTATTTACAAAAAAAAAAACTTGGGAAGGCAAAGTCTATAGCACTGCAGTATCTAATAAGTAAGGCTTATTTTGCAAATATGAGTCCATTGTGTCAGCAATGATCCAGACTTCTCACCACTGTATCTGAGTCAATACTCAGAGCCATGAATCAATTAGTTTCTGAGGTGTTTGGGATTTCGGTTTTGAGGGGTATTTTTTTTTGGGGGGGGGGTCGGGGTTCGGCTGGGGAACTCCTGAGTTCTTAAGCAGAAAAACTGGAGTGAAAATAGATGTCCTGTTCAGATGAAAACATCTGTCCTTTAATGATACGTCCACTACACCCTAACACCCACTGTATGAACTGAATGGCTAAGCATACTAAAATAGCCTTGGTAGGAAGAGTGACTACAAAAGAGGTATTTCAGAAGGTAAAAAAAAAAAAAAAATACCCTATTCCTTTACCAAATAAAAGTAAAACTAAAAAAAGGAAGGTGGTCCGTCTCCTACAGTTTCTGCATTGGACGTGGTCTAAACTGTATGTCCTCCAGGAAACACAACCTCACGTACTCAACCCGAGTTTGTCTTACAAAACAAAGGTGGGATACACTAAGTAGACTGGTTCGATGACCCTTCATGTTTTCCAGGAGACTTACTTTCGAAATTTCAGCCAAGCCTAAAAGATCGGTATCAAAAACGGTGGAGGTGGGGCAACAGCTTCAGATCCACAGATTAGACGTGTTAATAGAATGTTGATCCCATGAGTAATGTTCACAGCTGTGGCATCCAACAATGGAAATTAACATTTCAACAGGAAGCAGAGAGCCATCCCAACAGACAGAGCTGCCACCGACCCAACCTCCTCCCCAGCTCCGGAGACCCTCACCAAAATCATCCTTGGTGACCACACTGTGTGTGCCTGCCTCCTAGAGTTGAACGTGTGAATCCTTTTTACGATCCATTTGGTTTTAAAATTCTGCCAAATGCTTAATATATATATATTCAACGAGATCAACTAGTTAAAACACACTTAGGAAAAGCATTTTCTAAATGTGAAAATGTTTGTGCGTCCTGGGGTCCAGGCATTTTTGTAAATGCCTTTTTCTCGTCTCCCGGAAAGAGGTTCGGCAGCTGATAGATGTAATAGGCGATTCCTAACGCCACACAACTCACCACCTGAACGTCGTCTTTAAAAAAAAAAATGAATCAACTCATTACAAACCCGAGGTAACTCCTCCCCAACACCGGTTTCACACCGTCGGCTTCCTAATACCCGGTCTAGGGGTGGCTCGGTCGAGCTAGCCTGTTCTTTGAGACCAAAATCCACCCGGCTAGCGCAGCTTGGGTGCTCCGTTCCTAGAGGTAGCCAGGACGATTGACACCGAACGGCTCAGTCTTCTCTCAATAATGGCGTTTGTAATTCAGCCTCCCCGCCTGGACTACCCGATACCTAAAAAACTCGCGCAGCCGGGAGCTTGGAAATCGGGGAATGCTGGCGGACCCAACACCCGGGGCCGAGGCGGGAAACAAAACAAGGGCGGATAAAGCAAAGTGGGTCCCCCAGGGAAAGCTGTCCTGGAGGCGCGCCCCGCACGCCGCTCCAGGAGCCACCGCCACCGCTGCGGTGCGATCTGGTCCGGGCTCCGCTGCCGCCCAGACGCCCCACGCCCCTTGCGCGGCTCCCCGGGCAGATGCACTCTCCCGGGTGGCGCGCGTAGCCGGCCCCAGATCACCCCACCGGTGCATGGGTGCCCACCCGCCACCACCGCAGCAGCGCCCCAAATTGAGCCGCCCCCTCCCCCCACGCCCCATTGTTCCCGGGAGGCCGCGGGCTGCAAGCGCCAAGGACCGGGGACAGAGGGATGCCCCACTCACCCGCAACCCCGCACAGGAGCACGAAGCACAGTAGGAGCGCCATGGAGGCGGCCCGGTCGTAGCTTGCAGGTGAACGCTCTTAGCCCAGGGACCTTGGTATTCCAGAGCCCGGTACACTCCCGACTAGCTCCCGGCGGTGGCAGCAGCGAAGGCACCTCTGCGCCCCGCCCCAGCTCGGCAGGTGAACGCGTCACTTCCGGCAGCAGTCTGGAGCCCCTTTGGCTAGAGCCCACAGTGTTGGCGCCCTGGCGTTACCATGGAAACTGGGCGCAGTGCGCGTCCCCCTCTAGGGAACCTTCCAGTTCCAGCAGTCTTGCGCCCTACACCTGCTTGCACTGGGAGCCACCTCCAGCTCCCCCCCACCCCCGCGCAGCCTTCTTGCCTTGGTTAAATCGCTGCTTTGTGAACTGGGAACCAGCCTGCCAGTCTCACCGCTGTAACTGCCGTCACGCCCTCCCCCGGGGCCGGCTCCAGGCCAGAATTGCACCCTCTCCCTAGACACCGAGCTAGGCTCCTACCCTCCACCCGCCAGCAGCCGCTGGATTCCAGGGTCAGGAGTGTGGGCCTCCCGCCACCCGGTGTGCCCTTGAGCAATCCCACAGCTCCGCGAATCTGTCGCCTCCTTTTTGAATGCATAGATAGGTTGCTGCAGAAGGGCTCGGGAGAGGCTTTTCTTCCGCTCCTGTGTACACTGGAACCATAAAATGCGGCTCCAGATTGAACAAATACTTTGGGCTTTTCTCCCCCTTGCGTTTATGAGTCAACCTCAGCCCTGAAATTAGCCCATAAGGACAAGAGAGCTTTAAGTGTGGGGCTGGCTGGGAATGGCTAAATGCATTAGGTAGGGTGAACGGGAGTGGCCCTTTGGGAATTTGGGATTTGAAGAGTCTGCAATCCTGCCCCGTGGCTGTCCCACGCTGTTGTCCTCAGGCTTGTCCTTGCTGCTTGCTCCTGGTTGCTCTTCCCAGATAATGTTTATTTTTAACTATAGAGATGTGGAATTTCACAAGAGCTATCAGGAGATAGAAAATAGAAGCAACCAGTTCAATGGCTAAGAGCTGGGGGTCTGGGTGCGAAAGTCATGCCTGGAAAAAAAAATGCTTGGCACCCCGCAGAGTACATAGGAAGGGCTCATCCAGTAGCAGCTAATAAAGGAATATTGGGAATGGCTTATTGTTTATTGAACCAAAAAGAAAAACAGGCTGGTGCGATGGTTTGAATGAGAATAGTCCCCATAGGCTCATATATTGAAATTCTTAGTCACCAGGGAATAGCAGCACTATTGGCAAGGATTAGAAGGATTAGGAGCTGCAGCCTTTTGGAGTAGGTGTGGCTTTGTTGGCGGAAGTGTGCCATTGGGGGCTGGCTTTGAGGTTTCAAAAAGCCTGTGCTAGATATTCGTATTCTCCCTCTCCCCACTCCCTCTCCTTATAAATCAGGCTGTGGCTCTCTGCTACTTCAGCATCAAACCTGCCTGCGGCCATGCTCCCTGCTGTGATGATAACCAACTAAACCTCTGAAACGGTAGGCAAGCCCCCAGTTAAATGCTTTCTTTTCTAAGTGATAACTTGGTCATAGAACAATAATTAAGATAGAAATATAACCAGACGTAAGTCTAAAAAAGCTCCTACAGGAGGGGAAAAAGTGTAGTCCAGGAGGAGGTACGCTACCCGGCTAAAACGCTTAAGAAGTGTGCTAATCCATTCAAGCAGAAGTCTGGGGAATACTCGTGGGAATGGTTTTTAAGGGTGTAAGATAATGGTGGAAGGAATTTAAAACTGGATCAAGCTGAGTTTATTGATATGGGCCCTCTGAATGGGGGTGCTAGGTTTAATATGGAAGCATGCACCGTTCACAAAGGTGTCAAAAGATGGAGATGCCTGATATCCCTCGGCTTCGTGTTGCCGAAGGGAGTCTAAGGCTCCGGGAGGTTGCAATGCTAGAGTGGGTACACTGCCTAAAGCCTAATCCTCCACCATGGGAAGGTCCAGAAGATATGCCTTTCGGTAATCCTGTAAGACGCAACATTGTGAGAGAGGCACCGGCACATTTGAAGAGCTGTGTTGTTGTGTTTTTCCCTGTGCCAGACCTTAGGGTTGAGACACTGCTGCTCAGTTGGATGAATTAAATGCAGTGGGTTTAATTGGGCCCCCCAAAAAAGCAGGGGCCAGGTGGCAGCGACCCACTTGCCAAAGGCAAGGTGATTGTAGTTATCATCATGGGAAGCAGAGACAAAGCAACGTCTAAAAATGACCTGACCTGTAATGGTCAGCACAGGCAAAGTGAATTCTGTGGTGGCCTGACTCATATGGACCTTTGATACTGGCTAATCAATCATGGTGTTTCCAGGCATGGACCAGATAAGAAGCCTACTGGAAATTTGGGATCGTGGCAAAACGGAATATAACCCAGTGAACCAATTTCCAGACTTGAGCCAGTTTGCAGACCCAGAACCCCTTGCGTGAAGGGATGGTCAGGTTCCCCTTCAGAAGGACCTTGATAAAATTTTACTGATAGCCTTTCTGTAGTCCTTCCCCAGAGGGACCTACACCCTTTACAAGAATAACTGTACAATGGGGGAAAAACAATCAGACTTTCTGGGGTCTGATGGATACTGGTTCTGAATTGGTGCCAATTCCAAGATACTCAAAAAAAAAAAAAAAAAAAAACCACTGTGGTCTTCCACTTAAAGTAAGGGCTTGGGAAGGTCAGTTGACTAATGGAGTTTTGGTTCAGTGGGTCCTCAAACTCATCTGGCAGTTATTCCTCCAGCCCCAGAATATATAATTGGGATAAATATACTTAGCTGTCAGAATTCCAACATAGCTTCCCTGCCCAGTGGAGTGAGGGCTGTTATGGCTGGAAAAGGTAAATGGAAACCTTTAGAGTTGCCTCTGCCAGGGAAGATATGAAATCAAAAACAGCATCACATCCCTGGAAAAACTGCAAAAATTTGTGTCACCATCAAGGACTTGAAAGATGCAGGGATAATGCTTCCCACCACATCTCCTTTTAACATTCCTATCTGGTCAGTGCAAAAGACAGTGGATTGGCTGAATGGTTAGGGACATGGAAAGAGCATTATTGGGAAATTTTTGAGAAAAGCATCTGGGTAAGAATTATGAAGACAGATCCCTCCAAATGGATGAAAGATGTGAAGATACCTGTGTCCCATGTTAAATGCTCATCAAAAGGTGACTTCAGCTGAGGGGGAGTTCAATAATCAAGTAGGTAGAATGACCCATTCTGTGGACAGTCAGCCTCCTTGCCCAGCCATTCCTATCATTGCCCAATGGACACATGAACAATCTGGTCATGGTGGCAGAGATGGGAGTTATGCATGGGCTCAACAACATGGACTTCCACTCACCAAAGCTGACCTTGCTACAGCTGCTGCTGAGTGCCAGATCTGCCACCAGCAGAGACAAACACTGAGTGCCAGATATGGTACCATTCCCTGGGGTGACCAGCCAGCAACCTGAGGGCAGGTTGACTACATTGAACCACTTCCTCCATGGAAAGGATAACATTTTGTTCTTAATGGAGTAGGCACTTACTCTGGTTATTTGCCTTTCCTGCACGTAACGGTTTTGCCAAAGCCACCATCCATGGACTTACAGAATGCCTTATTCTCTGATCATAGAATCCACTCGTCTTACCTTGTTCCCCACCATCCTGAATTAGCTGGCGTGAGAGAAAGATGAAGTGGCCTTTTGAAGATACAGTTACAACCCCATTAGGTGATAGCAATCTGTGGGGCTGGGTCAGGGTTCGCCAGAAGGCAATATATGCTTTGAATCACTGTCCAAACCATGTATGGTATGGTTTTGCCCATAGCCAAGATCTGTGGGTCCAGGAATCAAGAGGTAGAAAATGGAATAGTATAGCTAGAGTTTTCCTGCCTGGCCCACAGTCAGGACAAATCTTTCTCACCTGCCAGTCCCACAACCGCTCAGACCCAACCAAGTAAACACAGAGACTTATATTGGTTACAAACTGTATGACCGTGGCAGGCTTCTTGCTAACTGTTCTTACAGCTTAAATTAATCCATTTCTATAAATCTATACCTTGCCACGTGGCTCGTGGCTTACCGGCATCTTCACATGCTGCTTGTCATGATGGCAGCTGGCAGTGTCTCTCTGACTCAGCCTTCCACTTCCCAGCTTTATTCTCCTCCTTGTCCCACCTACACTTCCTGCCTAGCCACTGGCCAATCAGTGATTTATTTATTGACCAATCAGAGCAACACATTTGCCATACAGAACATCCCACAGCAGAATAGTTCCACCCTAGTGACCCACTAGGAAAATTTCTGCTTCGTCTTTCAATGACCTTAAGTTCTGCTGGCCTGGAAGTTTTGGCTCCGGAGTGGAGAGTGCTCCTGCCAGGAACCACAACAAACATTCCACTGAACTAGAAGTCCAGTGTTCCCTCTGGCCACTTTGGGCTTCTGATGCCCATAAGCCAGTAGGCTAAGAAAGGAGTAACAGTGTTAGGAGGCGTGATTGATCCAGACTACCAAGGGGAAATTGGATTACTCCTCTACAATGGAGGTGAGAAAGATCATGTCTGGAGTGCAGGAGATGCTTTAGGGTGTCTCTTTGTGCTACCATGTCCTGTGATTAAACTCAAGGGAAACTACAATAACCTAATCCAGGCAGGATGACAAAGGGCACAAACCCTGTCAGGAATGAAGAGATAGGTCACACTCCTCCAGGAAAAGTGCCAGGGAGGAAATACAGAATGGGTAGCAGAGGAAAACAGTTATAAATACCAGCTAAGGCTGTGTAATCAGTTGTAGAAACAAGGATTATAGTTGACATGAGTGTTTCGTCATATTTTGTTAATATGTTTGTACAGATATTTGTGTTTTCTTTCCATGATTTACTCATCATGTAATATGACTTCAATTAAGAGATATTAGTGGTTATCATATTTAAGTTTGAGATGCTAAAAGAATGTCTCCCAAGGCACATTGCCACATATCCTAAGTTTATAATGCATTTGCAATTGTATATGCGATAGTCATATCATGTTAGTTGTAATTGTGACGTGGTTATTGTTTACATTTGGAAATTAAGCATGACATGAGAAAATACAATTGTGTGTTAAGTTGACCAGGGGTAGACTTGTGATAGCTATTCTTGGTTGTTAGCTTGACTATATCTGGAATTAACTAAAATCCAAATGACTGGACACATCTATGAGAGATGTTTTTCTTTTTTTATTTAAGAAATTTTTTATTCATTTTACATACCAACCACAGATCCCCCTCTCATCCCTTTTCCCATACCCCCCCCCAACCTCCCCCGCCCATCCCCTTCTCCAAAAGGGTAAGGCCTCCTATGAGGAGTCAGCAAAGCCTGGTACATTCAGTTGAGGCAGGACCAAGCCTCTCCACCTTGCATCAAGGCTGAGCAAGGTATCCCACCATAGGTAATAGGCTCCAATAGCCAGCTCACACACCAGAAATAGATCCAGATCCCACTGCCAGGGGGCCCTTCAAACAGACCAAGCTACACAACTGTCTGCCTTATGCAGAGGGCCTAGTTCAGTCCCATGCAGGCTCCACAGCTGTCGGTCTATAGTTTGTGCGTTCCCATGAGCTTACTTCAGTTCTCTCTGTAGATTTCCCCATCATGATCTTGATGCCCCTTACTCATAGAATCCCTCTTCCCTCTCTTCCACTGAACTCCTGGAGCTTGACCTGGTGCTTGGCTGTGCATCTCTGCATCTGCTTCCATCAGTTCCTGGATGAAGGCTCTAATCTGATTACTGGGGAAGGCCAGTTCAGGCACCCTCTCCACTATCGCTAGTAGTCTAAGCTGGGGTCAAGGGATGTTTTTCTTAATTAAATCATTTTAAGTGGTGTAGGTGGAAGTTTCTGTCCCACCAGCAACTCCTAATACCCAGCAGCCACTTCCCAAATAATTGACTCAGAGGCTTAATATTAATTATAAAAGCTCGGCCAGTAGCTCAGGCTTATTACTTACTAGCTCTTACACTTAAATTAACCCATAATTCTTATCTATGTTTAGCCACATGGCTTGGTATCTTTTCTCAGTACCGCATTCTCGTCTTGTGTCCTCTGCATCTGGCTGGTGACTCCTGACTCTGCCCTTCCTCTTTTAGTTTGGTCACCCTGCCTATATTTCCTGCCTGGCTACTGGCCAGTCAGCATTTTATTAAACCAATTCAAGTGACAAATCTTTACTGTATACAAGAGGATTATTCCACAGCAAAGTGGGAAGACCCACTCTATAAAAAAGATATAATAAGATAAAAGAGAAAACGATCACATCAAAGTCGGACAAGGCAAAGCATCAGAAGGAAAAGAGCCCAAGAGAAGGCACAGGATCAGAGACCCGTTTGTTCACACACTGAAAGCTGTGCACACAAACCGAAATCTGTCATAAATATACAGAGGACCAAAGGCAGACCTGTGCATTATGCTTCAGTCTCTGTGAGTTCATATCAGCCTTGCTCAGTTTATTTAAAAGGCCTTGTTCTCCTGGTATCCTCCATCCCCTCTGATTCTTACACTCTTTCCTCCTCCTCTTCTGTGTGGTTCCCTGAGCTCTGATGGGAGGGATTTGATGGAGACACCCCATTTAGAGCTGTCTGTTCCAAAGAGGAAGACCCACTTCTAATCCTGATCTTTGAGGAGGAAAGATATACCTTTAATCTAGATCTTTTTAGATGGATCTGAGTGACACCTTATGCTAGAAGCCTAAACAAAGAACACTCTCTCGTTGCCTGCTTGCCCTCACTTTCACTGCCAAGTCCACTGGCATTAGAGCCTACTTCTTAGGGATTCCAGCATATACTTTTGTAAAATTTTATTTATTTTTATGTAATGTGCATTAGTGTTTTGTCATGGGTGTTGGATCCCCTGAAACTGGAGTTACAGACAGTGGGGAACTGCCATGTGGGTGCTGGGAATTGAACCTGAGTACTCTGGAAGAGCAGTCAGTGCTCCTAACAGCTAAGCCATTTCTCCAGCCCCCTAGCATATACTTAAGACCAGATGACACATCCAGCCTCATAGACTGAATAACTACTCGATTCTTGGATCTTCTGTTGGTAGATAGCCATTGTTGGACTAGCTGGATCACAGCCTATAAGCTATTCTAATTAATCGTGTGTCTGTTTGTGTGTGTGTGTGTGTGTGTGTGTGTGTGTGTGTGTGTGTGTGTGTGTATTCATTCCATATGTTCTGTTCCTGTAGAGAACCCTGATTAATATAGCAGGGAAAGTATACTAGCTATCAGGAAGACCAAAATTGCCCCACAGCAGTTCAGTCCAGTGCAAGCCAACTACCTGTTAAAATTATGTGGAAAACTTTTTAAAAACATGTACCAAAGCTAAAGGAGTGGTTTGCTCAGCCCTGTAGTCCCACACTCAAGAGGCTAGAGCAAGGAGGGTTGCTGCAAATTGAAAGCTAACCTGGGCTACATAGTAAGTACCCCTTCAGATAGGGATACCCAGAAATACCATGTCTCAAAAAACAAAACAAACTATCATGTCCAAAGGTGTGGTGGTTTGAATAAAAATGACCCCCATAGGCTCGTAGGGAGTGGCCTTGTTGGAGTAGGTATAGCCTTGTTGGAGGAAGTATGTCAATAGAGGGTGGGCTTTGAGATTTCAGAAGCTCAATCTAGGCCTAGTGGCTCACTATCTCTTCCTGCTTCCTGTGGATCCAGATGTAGAACTCTTAGCTACCTCTCCAGCACCATGTCTACCTGCATGCCACTATGCATTCCACCATGACCATAATAGACTAAACCTCTGACCTGTAAGCTAGCCTCAGTTAAATGTTGTCCTTTATACCAGTTGCCATGGTTATGGTGTCTCTTCACAGCAATAAAACCCTAAGACAAAAGGGTACTCCATTTCTCCTCACTAGGGTAGGCCAACTCACTTGGTCCAAAATTGAGTCTAGGCTCAGCTCAAGCTGAGCTATAAAAGGGTTTCTGGCAGTTAGATAAAAGCCAGCATTCCTCAGGAACTTGTGAACTGGCTTCTAGCCCACTAAAAGCAATCATTTTCCATGCCCCTGACAGAAGAGACATGTACCTGTGTACCTATGAGCATATCAAAGCCCATGCTGGCTTCCAGGCTCCTTCAGCTGCTATTCACACTCACTTGTTATAATCTCAAAGCCCACACTGGCATCTTGGTCCTTCTCTCCTCCTCCTCTGTCCTAAATTCCCAGGCAGCTTTAGTTCCCAGGTTTGCTCCTAGCTACTCATCCATTTTATAACCCTCTTGATTTTTCCACACCCCCCACTGCCCCAGTCCTGACCAAGTCCAGTCTGTTGCTGCTTCTCTCTGGACTCTTCCAGATGCCTCTGGATGTTCTCTCTCTCTTATCCAAAATAAAAACCTTCCTCCCAAGGGGAGTGGCCATTGAGGTGGCTTCTTTACTGCACTCTCACTTACAATAACAAACACACAAAATGGAAGGAGGGAGGGAGGAAGGTGACTTAGGCGATGCCTTGAGCAACATAACTCCATGCCGTGTGAAACAGTGACTTTCAAACTATGCCTTCCCCATGGATACCTTTTACAAAGCGGTTGATTCTGAGTGCAATGCAGAGGCTAAATAATCTCACATCTTGTTGGTCCATGTAGACAGCGTCACTGTCTAGCACTAAGAGTGAGACACAGACGGATAAATAACTTAGGCATGCAAGTCAAAACTACCTGCAAAATTCTCAAAGAAAACTAGGAACACTTGGGAATGTGGGAGTATTAAAATTGTGATGTAAAAAACCAAGCCCAAGAACATATTAAACATGTAAGACCCACTAACGGTGCAATGCCTCTACTTGACCCCATGAAGATGGTGACAATCTCACTGACCCACCTGGATGTATGTCAAGCAATTGACAAATACAGAACTCTTGGTCTCAGCTCAGCATGGTCCCACTGCTTGATGTGGCTGAGCTGGCTAGTTTTATGTCAACTTCACATAATGCTCAAGTCTTCAAGGAGGTGGGAACCTCAATTGAGAAAATGCCTCCATGAGATGGGCTCCAGACAAGCCTGTGTGGCATTTCTCCAATTAGTGATTAATGAGGAAGGGCCCAGTCCATTGTGGATGGGCCAACCCTGGCCTGGTGGTCTGTGAGAAAGCAGGTTGAGCAAACCAGGGGGAGCAAGCCAGTAAGTAGCATTCTTCCATGACCTCTGCATCAGCTCCTGCCTCCAGGCTCCTCCTGTTTGAGGTCCTCTTCTGACTTCCTTCAGTGATGAACAGTGATTTGGACACGTAAACCAAATAAATCCTTTCCTCCCCAAGTTGCTTTGCTCATAGTGTTTTCGCACAGCAACAGTAACTCTAACTAGGACAGTTTCCCAGGGAAATCCCAAGCATCTGGAGTAAGTCCTGCACTTCTTTTGAGTAGTCCTGAGCCTGTGAAGCCCAGCTGAGCTTTGTGATTGGTTTCTGCATGCTGCAGCTCTCTGCCTCTGCCTCCAGTAGTTCTCATTGAACTCTGGGCCTCTTTTACCCTTTTTTAATCATTATGTAATGGCGTGATATGGTGTGATTTGGTGTGTGTGTGGGGGGGGGTGTGTGTAGAGCAATGTAAGCTATAAGAGTTAAATGTTAGTAAATAACTTTGGGTTAAAATAACCTGTGGTTGCTCACAGCTAGCAAGAGAATTCAGTACTAAATTGCAGTCAACAAAATTGATGTAACTTGTGAACTTACTCAATAAATTCTGACATTGTAGAAATACAAATGTGCCCATTTATGTTCCAGATGTGGTTTATTCACAGTGTGTGTGTATGGGGGGAGGGGAGAGGGAGAGGGAGGGGGGGGGAGGGAGGGGAATGGAGGGGAGGGGAGGGGAGGGAAGGAGAAGGGAGGGAGGGGGGAGGGGAGGGGAGGGAGGGGAAGGGAGGGGAGGGGAGGGGAGTTCCGTAACAGTTTCCTTGAGACTAAAACATTCCATCCTAAAGGAATTTAACTAAGGTAAACAACTAAAAATAGCTCAGGAAGTCTCTGAAACTGACCAGATTCACTAGGCCCCTCCCTGCCAGAGTAAACAATAAAAGCTGAGAGTTCTCCTCAGACAGAAGAAAGCTGAGCTACAAAGAGGTCTCTCTTATGAGCCAAGCTGCCAAGAAGGCTCAACCAAGCTGAGCTGCAGCCTCTCAGGGGAGCAAGTTGCGGACTCTGAGACCAGACCAGCTGCCTTGAAGAAGCAGAAACCCGCCAAAGCTGCCTGGAAGATGTTTAGAACAACTGAGTAACCAGGAAAGGACATGCAACCTGCTGAACTGCCTGCAGGCTGTGCAGTGCGCTCCAGGTTCCCAGCTTTGTGAGCTGTCACGCACTCTGAGGTGGGCTTTGGCGATGTCTTTGAGTCGTTTCTGCTACTGTAAGTTACCAGCCCATATTCCTATAAGTAGCCCTAATAAAAACCCATTGGTTTTGCAAACTGCGTTTTGATGGTATCTGTACTTTGATCTGTTGTCAATTCTCGATCTGGAGTGAGTAGATTTGTGTGGTGCATCTCCCTAGGAAATAATTTTGTCTCTCCAAAGCCAGCAATAATTCTAATTAAACCTGATTTGAATAGAACCCTAGCTTATCTAAAAAGAGTCCAAGTGTAGAGTTGAGACAGTGTGAATTACACCTACAGACTACCTAGTAACTGAGGAAACAAGACTTCCACAACATAGTTGCAGATATACAGTACTCGAATTTGAAATTTTCACTCACTTTTATTTTATGAAATTAAGCCACTGAGAGTAATATTGAGGTTGACTGGATTTCACAGCTGTGGGAACCTTTCTTCATATTGACCTTTATGGTAGTTGAGGTGGCTAATTTTTGTCAACTTGACACAGGCTGGAGTCATCTGAGAGAAGGGAACCCCAATTGAGAAAACGCCTCCATAAGATTGGGCTGTAGGCAAGCCTGTAGGCGTTTTTTTATTTAGTGACTGAGTGGGGAGGGCCCAGCCCATTGTGGGTGGTGCCATCACTGGACTGGTGGTCCTGGGTTCTACATGAAAGTAGGTTGAGCAAGCCATGGGGAGCAAGCCAATAAGCAGCACTCCTCCATGCCTCTTTGTCAGCTCCTGTCTCCAGGTTCCTGCTGCATTTGAGTTCCTGTCCTTTATTCCTTCAGTGATGAACGGTGATTTGAAAGCTTAAGCCAAATAAACCCTCTTCTCCCCCAGCTACTTTGGTCCTTGTGGTTTGTCATACCAACTCTGACCCTAACTAAGCAAGTAGCACATATTTGTGACAGTGTTGTTGTCTCGCTCATCTCCTGCTGTGGAAATCAAACCCCCTTTTTATCTCTTACTGGAGAAAAACTTAGAATTTCATTAATTTAATTCAAAGGGATACTCGTTTATTTGACTCTTTTCTAGCACTTTTTTCTTATAGTCCTTATGTTTTAACTATTGGGATGGGTATTTGCATACCTATTAATTATGTCTCTTGCTCTGAATATTTCTAGAAATTAAGAAAGGCACATTGTTCATCTCTAGCATCTATCTCAGCTGAGTACATGGTAGGTTCTCTAGTATTTAAATGGAACCTTTTCTATGTCATGTTAAATCATTTACATATTCAAACAAATCATGCACTTTGATACATCTTTGAGAATGTATGCTTTAAATTTTATTTATTTACTTTATAGGTATGGGTGTTTTTGCCCACATGTATACCTCACCACATGTAAGCCAATACCAGCAGCCAGTGTCCGCTCCCCTGAGACTGGAGTTACTAAAGGTTGTGAGCCTCAGTGTGGCTACTTGGAAACAAAGTAGGCCACTGGACAATCAGCCAGTGCTCTTAACTACTGAGCCATCTTGCCAGTGTCTAGAATTTTTTTAATGTAAATTTTACCCATGTGGAGGTTCAGGTGTATAATCCCAGAACAAAGGAGGTAGAGGCAGATGAATCAAGAGTTCAAGGTCATCCTCAGCTACATAGCAAGTTCAAAGCCACCCTTGTACTTACTACATGAGAGCTTATCTCAAACAAACCTAAAATCTCTCAAAATAGATTTTATGAAGTCAATGTTGTATGCTTCTTGATATTATAGAATACAAATTTTGAGGGCATTTTTTACAATTATAGCCTATATATTATTAAACAAGGAGCAGTTTATCTTATTTATGGAATTACTGTTCTTCAAAAAGTTTTATGAAATCACTTTTAGACTCTGGATTGTGACTACGTTTTCACATACATAGTTAATAAGATTTTGCAGGAAAGTGAAACCTGCTAATGACACCTTAAACTGCCTTTCTGCCTGTCTGCCTGGAAATTATGCCTCCTGGAAACTGTAGTGTAATAATCTCATTAATTCTGGAATGTGCAATTTACTCATTGTCTGGCATACTCAAACCAAACAAGCAAATAATGCCCGACCATTATATGGGTTCCTCTTTCATCGAACGCGGCTCTGTATTGTGTAGCCTCTAAACCTGCAGAAAGATGATAGAGGCCCATAGAGAAGGTAGCAATTAGACAGACATAAATCACTCTGTGGTTAATAAACCATCTATCCTTCCACGAATTTCTCGGTGTAATGATGTGTCAACACACCCATGGGTGATTAAAACTGTACAACCAAGTTTCACTTATGCTCAGGAGTTAACGAATTTCCATCTTTTTTCTTTCAGATCTGAGAACCTAAAGAGACACATTCTACCACACATGACTGCTGACTCCCATGCTTTCTGGAAAATGCTGATATTGCTCTTAGGAAATCAAGGTTTGTCACTAGTGTGTTGTATTTACATTACCAGCACATTGGTTTGATACATAAATAACATATAAAGGCTGCCTATTTAAGTCCTAAGCAAAATATATATATATATATATAAGTATGTATATTAACATATATTGTACATATATTATACATAAACCATTTCAGTACTGGTAATTCTGAGCATTTCGTAGGTTCCTAATAAAAATGGATGCACAAATACAGGATTTATAGAGACCAAAACTCGGGACTTATTGATAGGATTTTGAAATTGCCTTAGCCAGGAAGAATCTGTTTCTTTCAATTGCTTCCTTTTCTTCCTTCAGATCTCCAGTATTTCACACTATTGTTTTCTTCCTCCAGTTTCTGGTGCTTCTCAGTTTTCAGCTCAAAGGGAAAACAGAGTGATGGAGCAAAAGAGTGTACTGAAGTCACTTAGTTAGGCATGGCACCACACCTCTGTAATAACATCAGCACTCTGGAAGCTAAGCAAGGTGGATTGCCAACACCAGCAAGTCAGTCTCAGGCCAGTCCGAGATACTCAGGGAAAAAGGGAAGTTTGGGGGAGGACCCCACAATAATTACTATTATGGTTTATGCCTGATATAGTCACTTCAAGTATTGAATGGTTGGTCTCTGATAGGTGGTGTAAACTTTAGGAGGGGGGACACCCACAAGAAGAAACAGGTCAGTGGAGGAGTGCCTGTGAGGGACAGACATGGTTCCCAGCGTCTCTCTGCTCCCTCTCCATCATGAGGTTAGTGGCTTCTGTGTCGCGGTCCCATAGCTGTGATGTCCTACCCAACCACAGCCCTAGAAGCACACATTGTCAAACACTATGAGCTGAAATATCTGAACCCATAAGTTAAAAATACATCTCCCACTTTTAAGTTGTTCATGTCAGCATTCTGTTAAAAGACGACGGACCAATCTTCAGTCTCCAGTGTAAATACACTGGGGCCCGAGCTCTGGAAATAATGGTGAGAAATAGACTGGGTAGATCATATTTTGTACCTGTATATGAATTTTTATTGAATCCCCCTTTTATTCAGTACACCATCCATCCTAACACTTGGCTTGATGTCCCTCAACCCACAGACCCTCCTTTCTCTCACCCACCCTGCTGAGGATAGAATCCTGCATGCTAAAGGTGCTCTATACCTGATCTATAATTCAGTCCCATTGGCTGTAATTTTAATGTTTTTAGGAGTAGAGATAAATGCATATATTCTATCCTCTACCTTCTTTCACAAGTCTGCCATCAACTCAAAGGAAATATTCCCAAGAATTTGTACAAACTCAAAATAACACGAACATCTTTATAATTCTGCCTAATAATAATAATAATAATAATAATAATAACAACCTTAGGTTATTTAATTTTGTAATGTAATCAACTTTGTTTCTGTTCACCTTATAAAGGATACATGGCTGTGTGTTAGGTTTGTCAATGTGTCTCTGTTTACTATTTCTTCTTGCATCTCAAATCACTTCTAAGATCAGATTCTGTAATATCGAGATCAGTTTCCTTTGTTAGGGATTATGTCCTTCGCAAACTCCTGCACTAAAGATCTCTTTAAAGTCAACATGGTTTAAATTGGTCTAAAAGTGTGTGTTATGGCTGACTGCTGGGAAAACTTCAGCAATCAAATTCTTACTGAATGCTGCTTTTCCTACAGGGCCTCGAATTTTATCCTATTAACTAAATGTATAGTACATTTTCCCTGTGTAGTCCCATGAACTTTGGGGAGGGACAACTAGCCCATATCAAAATTGTAGCATGGGTTTTCATTTAAGTTATATTTTTCTTTATAGATGTAGCTATTGAATTCTTGTTTCACATTTACATAGGTTGCTTCTTACTTTCTACTTGCATGTTACCAATTATGTCTTCTGTCACTTTAAACATAAAAAAGAAAGATATATTTAAAATAGTAAAAATATGTCTATAAACAGCAAACACCCACACACACACGTATAATGCATTCACACATTATCTGAAATAATTGCATGACCAAATCAATGCCTTTGTGCACCTTACTTTTGTGTATGTGTTTGTGCAGATGATTCTTGCTTTTTTTTCATGTATTTTATGCTTTTTTAGTATTTTTAACTCATTTGGGGAACTTAGTATTACCTAAAGGGTTTAAGTGTGTTTTTTTTTCCTATATCATTCAATGACGGTAAATATGCACAACCCAGATTTTACTATCGCAAGTATACAATTCAGTGCCGTGAGTATGAACACTTGGTAAACGGAAATTCTGTACCTACTAAACAGACAATGCCACCTCTTCCCTACTTCAGCCCCGCTGTCCATCATTCTCCTTCTTTTTAAACACATCCTCTCCCACCTTCATAGCCTTTTGTTTTTAACCTATTCGGTCAACTAGTGCTGCCCATAAAACATGCTGTGAGACAAACACTGGAGCAGAGTCATCCACCCTGAAGTGTAGCTAGAGTTTTCCTGCCTGGCCCACAGTCAGGACAAATCTCTCTCACCTGACAGTCCCACAGCTGCTCAGACCCAACCAAGTAAACACAGAGACTTATATTGGTTACAAACTGTATGGCCATGGCAGGCTTCTTGCTAACTGTTCTTACAGCTTAAATTAATCCATTTCTATTAATCTATACCTTGCCACGTGGCTTGTGGCTTACCGGTCGGTACTTTACATCTTCCTTGTCCTGATGGCGGCTGGCAGTGTCTCCCTCACCCAGCTTCCTGTTCTCTCAATTCTCCTCTCTGTTAGTCCCGCCTATACTTCCTGCCTGGCCACTGACCAATCAGTGATTTATTCATTGACCAATCAGCAACACATTTGACATACAGACCATCCCATAGCACTGAAGAAAAGGGGCTACCTTTTCTTCATCTACCTTTTCTCATCTAAGGGTGGGGCCACATGGTTTCCTCCCCAGACCCCCAAAGGTGTATTTCAGCTCCCTCTTTAAGAAGTGACACAGTTCACCACCACAGGGAGAGGCAGGGAGCACGAGGCAGCTGGTCACATTGTATTGACAGTCAAGAGTCAGAGAGAGATGACGGCTGGTACTCAGCTCACGCTCTCCTTTTATCTGCTCTGGGACTCAAGCCCACAGTGCGATGCTGTCCACGTTCAAGGTGGGTCTTCCTTTCCTGCTCAGTCAAATTTTGGTGGAAACACTATCATAGATATGCCCTGAAGTGTGATTCCATGGTAAATCTAAATTCCATTAAGTTGATAACAAAGACTAACTAATAGGGAATTGACAGCTAGAATCTATAGAAAGCTCAAAAATTAAGCAACACACAGACATGCATGCATGCACGCGCACACATGCGCGTGCGCGCGCACACACACACACACACACACACACACACACACCAGTCAACCATTGTACATATACCTCAGACACTCCTTGAGGAATACAAATGGCCAGCATAAAACAATCTTAATGATATTTTTGTGGAGTTATTTCATTTTGCTTTGTTTTGGCTTTTTGTGTGTGTGTGTCTTATTGGGGCTTTTTTGTTTTGATTTTAATTTTTGTGGGGTTTTCTTCAGAGGTTTTTTGTTTATGTCTGTGTATGTGTTTTGTTTATTTTTATATGTGTTTGTTTGCTTTGAAAGGGAGAAAGAGAATATAAAGTTAGATAGGTAGGGAGGTGTATATATATATTAGTTAGTTTTATGTTGCCTTGACACAAGCTGGAGTCATCAGAAAGGAGGAAGCCTCAACTGAGAAAATGCCTCTATAAGATTGGGCTGTAGGCAAGACTGTAGGATGTTTTCTTAATTAGTGATTTATTGGGGAAGTCCCATCCTATTGTGGGTGGTGCTGTCCATGGGTTCTGGGATCTATAAGTAAGCAGGCTGAGCAAGCCACGAGGAGCATGCCAGTAAGCAGCACTTCTCCATGACCTCTGCGTCAGCTCCTGCCTCTAGGTTCCTGCTCTGCTTGAGTTCCAGGACTGACTTCCTTTGATAATGATTTGTGATGTGGAAGTGTAAGCTGAATAAACCCTTTCCTCCCCAAATTCCTTTGGTCATGGTGTTCTGTCACAGCAATAGTAACCCTAACTGAGACAGGAGGTGGAGGGGATCTGGGAGGAAATGAAGGGAGGGGAAAACATGATCAAAATATATTGTATGAAAAACATTTTTTCAATTAAAAAATGGTGAATAAATAGTTGAAAAAATATTAGACATCTTTAGCCTTTTAAATGCAATTTAAAACTCCTCAAGATTTTACCTGACATCGTCAGGATGACTAACAATGGCATGTGCTGGTAATGATCACATTCATGATAGCCAAGCTCTCTGTCTCTGGCTACTTACTCAGCCCACATGAGCATTTCCATTTTCTTGTCTAGGAGAAAAGGAATTGGATAGTCAGCTTTATAAAGAAGACAAAGAATTGCAGTGCAGTGGCCAGTGTGTGACGTGTACACTCCTAGGGCATTTTTGAGACTAGATGATTTCATGTTTACCTGGCGCTTTGAGCATACTAGATCAAAGATGGTTTGCTTATTCAGCATTAAACATATTTAATTTATACCTGCCTATAAAGTTAACCATTATTGTAGTATACACATCCTCATCTACATTTTACTGGTTTCTTTTTGGCTGTAGACAGCCATCTGTCTGATAGATAATAACAATGCTTCCCGTTTATAGACAGTAAAGCATCTTTCATCCAAGGAGTTAAAAGAACTCAACAATTATGACTCATTGTCCTTTACATTATCTGGACAAAAATGGAGGTGGTGCTAAGTACTGGCTAGGCACGTCAGGAGTCAGAGAAGTTCTATGTCTTTGGTTATGCGGCAGCCAAAAGCACACCTCCCCTCTCTTCAAAGGTCTCCAGTGGTTTCAGCTGCGTTTATGATAGAGGTAATAATTCTTACAAGTGCGGTGCTCCCTCCCTCTCCAAGCTCTGTCGACCATTACAACCACGGCCACTGTGGGTACTTAACCTTCTGGGTGCTGGTGATGTCATCACCTGTCACACTGTGGATCCATTGTTTCCTCCTAAAGGGACAAAGACAAGTGTCCTGGTTAATTCGGATTCCACCATGCGAGTTTTAGAGCATAGCTAATGAAGTACAGATAGTGCTAAAGAATCCAGGGTTCAGTGGGATGAATTAGCATCGCGCGAAGTGTTTGAGGAGCTTCCGGTAGGGCACATCACCACAGCTGCAGTTCACACCTGGATATACCAATATTTAATTGTTTGTTTAGTATCCGTTAATATCTATCTCCCTCAACTGTAGGATCCATGAGTCTAGGGAATATGTCTGATTTCTCTTACTGCTATAGCCTCAGTGTCTGTTTAGTGCTTGGCTCTAAATATGGGCTCAAAACAGAATATTAAGAGAATCCGTTTTGATTTTTAGCAAAGTCGTCTTTGGAAATTTGAGTCTACACCTTGAAACTCCAACTTAAAACTATAATCGAAATGCAATTATTCTAATTTATTATTCTGATCTATTTGAATAGGACAACATTATAACATTGGATAGAAAAACATGTAACATTATATGCTTTAACAATGTATTTTAAACAATTTAAAATCTAGTAAAATAAAACGAGACAAATTAGGAAAGTAATAAACAGAGGAGCTTGGAAACCCAGTTGAATCCACGGTCTGTCGGTAGTCACTCAGCCCCTGGGGAGAAGGGACTCATGGTAGATTTTTCTGGGGCACCTAAGAGATGGACTCGAGCTCTCTGGGCTTACTGAAGAAACTTGCAGAGTTGCTGTCAGCGAAGCC